AACTGCTCCACTGTCATTATTGAAATTATCCCTCTCCACAGAACTGCTTTCACCCTTTTGTTAAAAATCAATTAGGTATATCTATGGTGATCTATTTTAGGGTTCTTTGTTCTATTCTGTTGATCTATCCCTCTACCAATACCACACTTTTAATTAACAAAGCTATAAAGGAAGATTTAACAGAAGGTCAAATGGTTCCTCTCTCTTTACTCTTCTCCCCACTCTTCCCAACACTGGATGGGCTATGCCAGTTCTATTCACGCTGTTCATGTACTTTAGTGCACTCTTTATTCTTGTTTTAAAGGTCCTCCCTCTACCTAGCAGAGGTATAACGTCCTGAGGAAGAAATGAAGAAAAAAAAAGATTCATGAAAGAAAAATAAGTAACATATTACCACCATCCTTAAATTTTTATCCACCTATCCTTCAGTGAAATCCCAATTTCTCACGAAAGCTTCTTTACCATTCTAGGTCATATATACCTATAATAACTCACTAGCCGCAAATCATTTCCTTCTCTCTGCTATACATGTGTAAACAAATTTTGTGTCTAATAGAATTGTCCAAGCATTAAGAGATTGGTCCATGTTTCGGACTTCTTTACAAATTTCAATAAATAACCGGGGATACAGCTCAGCGGCACAAGCACATGCCTGGCAAGTGCAAAGTCCTGAGTTCAATTCTCGGTATCAAAAAAAAAATTCAATAAACACTGAGTCAATTAATTGAGGATTATTTAGCTGGAATTTAGAACATGAGATACTAGAAAAATCTATGAAAACAAGGGTGAAAAATGAGCTAATTGTTCCATTGTTACCAGTAGTGGGATCATCAGCTCATCAAATTTCAAGACTTTCAACTTACTTTCTTTTTCTTGACAGGCATTGAGTCCCATACCCAGTGCATCCTAGAGAAGTCCTCTGCCACTGAGCTACATCCACATCCTACCCGATTAATTAAACTACTGAATTAAAGAGCATATTTCTAGGCTCTTTTTCCCTTTTCTTGTGCAGGTGGGTTAAAGAAAAGAAGTAGTAAATAATGAAGTATGCCAGTTTTCTTTTTTTTTTCCCTACTCTTTGCCAAAAATATTACAAATTCATTTAAATTTTAAGGCTATTAAACATTATTCATCCTAAACATACAGTGTAGATTTACTTAAAAAGCAAATGGTCCAAGCGATTAGAATATTGATTTAAGCAAATAACAGAAACTCATAATGTAAAATGGGTCATTTTATGATTGTAAAAGAATTGCTCAAGTATAATTTCCTAAGGTCCTAAGGGGTCTTTGTGCTCTTTTGTTACCATGCTGACAGTATCTTCCTCTTAGTTATCAATGCTTTGCTGACAAAATTTGAAGTTATGGTGCACAGTATCTGAAATAATATAGCTGCTTAATCCATGTTTTTATCTCTACTTTATAACAGCCGTTACCTGATAATCTATCGATCAAATGCCTGTCCTTTGCTAAAACAGATGTAGAATTTTATATATATATAAATACATATATATTTTTACTAGATCCCTTCCTCAAATGTTTCTTTGTTAACTGTCCACAAGTTTAGATTGTTTAAATAATTTGCAACACACTGTCATAGTAAATGCAATAAAATTAATGCAGACTAGCTCTTCCTTATAAAATATAACTCATATGTTATCATAACAACTTTGGTTAAAATTTTTTATTTAGTTTCTCTTCAATTCTTTCACTGTACTGTGTGACTAGTAGGCAGGGAAAGCTACAATCAAGAGTCTCACAAGATTTCATTTCGTCTTTGATGACCTTAGAGGGGACATTTTCCTAGCCTTCACCTCATGTCCTGGCTACTAAGCAGATACTGAATTGCAATTCTCCAAACATTAATAAGCTTCTTTTAAACTCTGCCTATTTCATTTCTATGCTTTATTAAAGGGATTACAATACTCATAATACACTCAACTTCTACAAGTCCATCACTGACACTACCATTCCCACCACATATACAGAAACCCCTTCTTGATTAGCAAAAATTAAGAAATCTCATGGTTCTAGTGTCCTGAAAACATGGTTACCTAATCCCAGAAAATACTTGTTAGCATATAAATACGTACAACCACTTTGGAAAATAATTTGGTATTATCTCCTAAAAGAAACAGTTAAAAAAGAAAAAAGAAAAAAGAAACAGTTCACTGGGCATCAGAGCATATGCCTGTAATCCCTGTACTTGAGAGGCTGAAGCAGGAGGTTTGCTGTAAGATCAAGGTCTACCTGAACTACATAGTGAGATCTCGGGGCTGGGGATTTAGCTCAGTGGCAAAAGCGCCTGCCTGGCAAGAGCAAGGTCGTGAGTTCGGTTCCCGGTACCGGAGAAAAACCAAAAAAAATTAAAAGAGATCTTGTGTCAAAAAGTAAACCAAAGAAACAATTATATTCCTGTATCTATACCCTCAAGATTTGTACATCAAGTGACATACAAACATATTCATAGCAGCATTTTTAATAACACCAAAAAATGTGAACAACACAAATATGGACTAGAAGACCACAGTATATTTCCATAGTAGAATTCCATGTACCAATGAATAACTAATGAAATATAGTAATATACACGGCATGGATGAATCTCAGAAACAATGATAAATAAAACAATGATAAATAAAATAAGTCATAGAAAGCTATATGCAGTAAACCATTATATTTGTAAACCACTATATTTGTAAGAAAAAGTAAGCAAATTTTAAAATGTTATTGTTTAGGGAAACATCTATATGATTTAAAAAAGGAAAAACCAACACAAAAACCAGTCTAGCTTGCAGTGGTGGCGAGCTTATGGCATGCGTGCTACAGAGGGCTGTTTGTATCATTGAAAGTTCTAAAAGGTTTGCCATCACTGGGCTAGGGAATACACAAGATACATCAAGAGGACAGACAAAGTTATAGTTCTAAAATTAGGTGGTTATAGTAGGCTCATTAGTTTCACTATTAAGTTTTCAACTATACACATACTGCCAGACTTGGAGGCATACGCCTGTTAGCCCAGAGACTTGGGAGGTTGAGGCAAGAGGATCTCAAGTTCAACCCCAGCTTGGACAACTTAGTGAGCCTCTCTAATAAATAAATAAATAAAAATTTTAAAGGGTTGAGGATGTTGCTCAGTATGAAGGCCCTGGTTTGACTCCCATTATCACAAAAAAATATGTACACATATTGTATACATATATCATAGGACTGTAGGATCTGGGTGTATTTATCACTTAGAATTTCTGGATAGCATTCTAGCTACAAGACAAATTTAGCCCAATCATAAAGGGACATATCTGATAATTAAAACCAATGTTAAATAAGATTACTTTATTATTGCTATTTGGAAACTTTTATAATAAGAAAATAACAAATGTTTCATAAAAAGTTAAGCAGTGGGGTGGGCAAGGACAGTGAGTCTGGTTAAGAAGGATAACAAGAAGGTTCTTTGTTATAATGAAAATGTTCTACATCTTGACTGTTCCAGTATCGATATCTTGCTTGTGATATTAGACTACAGTTTGACTTAGATGTTATCATGTGGGGGATCCTGACTATATTGGATGTCCATATTACTACTGTCTTCTGCCTATATACCTATATATAGGTATATAAAAATAAATGTTTAAGCCAGGCATGGTGGTACACACCTTCAATACCAGCACTCAGGAGGCTAGGCAAGAGAACTGCTGCAAATTTGAGGTCAGCCTGGTCTACATAGTGAGTTCAAAGCCAGCCCTGAACTGCATAGTGAGACACCATCTCAAAAAAAACCAAAAATAAATAAAGAAGTAAAAGTCGAGTAGAAAATACGGGAGAAAAGATGGCTTCTGTCCTGTATTTCTTCACATTGGCATTACTGACATTTTGAGACAAAAGTTTTTCTTGTGAGCCTGTCGTGGGAACTGCAGCGCAGCACCCCAGGCCTCTACAGGCTCCAGCTTGTGATAACCAGAAATGTCTCCACACACTGCCATATGTTCCCTGGAAGGCAAAGCTGCCCAACTTGAGAAATGCTCTAGTCCTAAAGGCCAAGGAGAGTCATAGGAGTATCCTGATTGACGTAGTCTAGAGATAACAATTAAATGCAATACCTGATCCTAGTCTGGATTCTGTACTGTAAAGTAAAGACTGCTAAAAGGACATTAAAAGTATTGTATCAATATAACTGTACTCCCCACGTATAAGAAAATATCCCTATGCTTATGAAATAGATACTTAAGGGTTCAGGGTAAAGGATTGTGATGTTTGCAATCTACCAAGCGATCCAAGAAAAAATATATATACATATATACACACACACACATCCACATGAATAATGTATGTGTGAATCTGATTACAGGGTATACAAGTAGGTCCTTTGTGCTATTTTTATTCTTGAAACTTTTGCATATGTTTGAAATTGATTATAAATCAAAAGGTGCAGTTTTTTTTTTTTTTTTAAAGTGGAAAAGGGGTTTATAACCTTAATAGCACGTTTCAGAGAAATAGTCTAGCAAACGTGATAAAAATCTCAAGAGGATAATGACTACTGCCGGGAGAGATTCCTACTTCAATCCTGAACATTCCTTAGCAAGAACTGTTAACTTTCAGCCCGTTTCTCCTTCTCTACGCTTTCTGGAGACGAATCCTTGAATAGTGACGACTTAAAAACTAATCTATCTTACTTTTAAAGGCCGTATCTATAAAGTGACTTAATAAACCCACATCCTTGCTCCATTTTTCCACAAATCACTGAAGCATCTTCACTTTCAACAGTTAAGAAGCAAAATCTAGAAAAGCACACAAGTGCTCTTCATAAGAAAACCGTTTATCCACTTGGCTAAGTACACTAAGAGTACGTGGACTAAAGAGCAGAAAAGCAACGTCCAGGGGGGCGGAGGGAAGAAAGAGATAAAAGATTGGCAGGGGGGGAGCCTGAGCGAGGTAGAGTGGGTTCGCTGGCCAGGAAGAGATTTGAACGCGTCGGGTGAGTCAGAGGGAGAGGGGGTCGCTCACCTGGCAGTGGTAAGCAGAGGGTGCTGAGTCCCCACCAGCTTCCGCACCTGCATAGCGATGTTGCTGAGCTCGTCGCTCAGCAGGCAGCGGAGGCTCATGAAGGACGTGGGGTAGCCCACGATCTTCTCCGCCTCTGACACCACCTGGTTCCAGTGTGTCGGGGATCGGGTGGACTGACCACGAGAGGAGCCCACAGCGGACAGGAACCACCACGGGCGACGTAAGGGACCCAAGGCCCCGAGATAACAGGGCAAGCGCATCAGCAGCTGCCGAAGGCTCATAATCTGAGTCTGGGAGGGACAGGGACCTGGGAGTAGGTGCCTCGGGAAAGAAACCAGGGGCGAGGAAGGAACTTGCAGGAACTAAACGGAAGCGGCGGTCCTCAACTGTAATCCAAAAGGAACTTTAACCGCTGTTTTCTGCAGCCCGGGCTGAACGGATAGTGGCTCCAGCTCAGCACTGCCCCCGGCCACCTGCAGTAGAAACCACTGCCGTCGTCTACATGGGGGACGCCATGTTGGCAGCGTGGAATGCGGCCTGCCGTAAAGAAGGAGGCGGGCTGTATCTTGAGTGGCAAAGAAGACTCCCTACTTTACGGCGACCCGAGAACTCTCGAAGGGGCGGAGCTTTGCGGGCGGGCTCCGGAAGCGAGGGGTGTGGCGAAGGTTGCGGCTCCTCCCGGCTTGCGAGACTCGGCTGTGGAACGGGCAGGATGTGGGCGCGAGCGCAGTCTCCGCGCTTGGAGCGTGATTCTAACCGAGAGTCATTAGTGTTCCCGGTGCGCAGCACACAGTGGGCGTGATGCGGAGTTTGCTCGCGGGCGAGGTCTACGTCTGCCCGCGAGAAGGGCGCCCCGCCGAGGACGCTGCCCCGGAAGCCCCTCGTCGCTGTCCGCCGCCTGTCCCCGGCTGGGTCCTTGAGCCGGCGTGGTTGCTCGGACTGCGTGGCGTTTTGGGCTGTGCGCGGTGAATGCCAATGGGCTGAGTCCTCGTGTCCTCAGCGCCCGGCCGGGCAGAAAAGGGCGCTTTTCCTAGAGATGCCCTCGGGTCGTTGTGCGAATCGCCGACCTCGTCTCAGAGCCTCGGGTTCCTCTCTGTGCGTAGTCCGTGTTAGAACAGCCGAGCCTCTCGCCAGGGCGAAGGACAGTAAAACGTGGGCCGGGCGTGGTGGCTAACTCCTGTAATCCCAGCACTCGGGAGGCTGAGGCAGGAGGATCTTTGTGAGTTCGAGGCCAGCCTGGACTACAAAGTGAGCTCAAGGCTAGCCTGACCCCGGTCCTTCGCCTCTCATTTTTCTTTTAACGCCTGTTCTTGGGGCTCCGCTCACCACCCAGGATTGCAGACTGAATCACTGGCCCCAGGGCTTGCCACGTACTACCTCGTTTAATCCTCAAAGCAGCCACATTAAGCAGATAATACTAGTGTTCCTTGTTCGTATGAGGAAACTGAGGTACAACCCGCTGTGTAAATGGCCGATTGACCACAGCAGGCAAGGGTGTGAATCCAGACACTCCGGTTTTTTAACCACAACGTTGCACTAGAGATCTAGTAGTAGGCGACCATCTATTCTTTTCTCTTTACTGATAAAGGAAGGCAGTCAACGTGATTATTTCAGTAATGCTACCTATTTTCTTCAGGTATGTCTAGCATCTTGGGCCCCCTTATCACCAAAAACAAGCGTTAGTAAACCTTTCTTGATAACTCTTGTTGCCAAGTCAATGCAAATAACCCCTGAAACTCCAGATTTCAAAATCCTTCCAAATTTATGGTTGATTTTAAAAATTATTATGCATAAAATTCTTATTAAGCTCTCATTCTCAGTCTACAATTTTTATATGTAGCCAAAAGTCTAGGCCAGCAGTATACTGGTTGCATATAAAAATTTGGCTACATATAAAAATTGTGCCTTAGAAGGGCTTGGTGGCTCGCTGGTGCCCCAGCTGCTTGGATGGGTGAGGAAGGAAGGTTGCTTGGGTCTAGGACTTGGGCATCAAGCTGGGCAACATGATGATACTTAGAAAAAGGGCAAAATAATGAGAAATTTTTCACTTTTTAAAAAATGTTCTCTTATATTTGGCTGACCTATACCCACTAGGTGCCAGAAATACCCCTTCCAAACTGTTAACCCTGACATGTCTCCAAACAAGGTGCAGTTCTCTGCTAAAAGTTTAGCTTCAGACGCCCTTTGGCGAGTATCTCTTGCAATTAAAAATTATTCACGAACATTTAATTTAGGTATAATTGTTCAGGGGCACATCTTCTTTAAGGTGAATTATGCTTAAGGATAGTAAAATATTTTCTTCCCCTGAAAATAAATGAGGTAAGCCAAAGTTTGAAAATAATGCCTGTGAAAGAGATAAACTGGCAATAAAATTCAAGTCTGTTCCTAGATGAAAATAAGCGTGGAGAGTGAGATACTTTACCATTCCAAAGTTTCAAGGCCCAAGCTTCTGGGTTAGCCAAGGTGAAAGACGCTATGAAAATCCAAAGATTGATAAAGGCTGAATGTGATATATTGGGCACCTGAGGCTGTTTCTTCAGAATCATGGCACCTTCCGAGTAACTTTTCATGCAATTTCCTTAATACCAATTCACAGCATGTACTTTAATTTCTCCACAGAAGCCAAGTGCATTATTCTCTGGTCATACTCTATTAACCAGGTTTTTGATTATTCATGGGACCTTTGGTTCCATTTACCTTAAATAATGAGCACTTTCCTTAAGCTTAGATTTAAAAGGTTGCATTATACTTAATGATAATCAGTTTTTAGAAGGTTAAAACGGTATTTGTTCTTTCATCTTTCAGATAAATATATAATTCCTTCTACCTTCATGATCGTCGAGACTCCAAATTGCGTATGACTTATGGGAGAACAGGAAGGGGCAGTATCTCTGATTCTGCCCTTTCCCCACCACTGGTAATAGTTATTATGAGGATATTGGTGGCTGTGTGCCCAAAGTAGGAATACAGCGTGGTTTTGAACCTCGGTGTTATTGACGTTTGGACCAGACTGTTTGTTGGGAGTAGAGGTGAGGCTTCATGATTACTGTAAGATGTTTAGCAGCCCTCACTTCTACTCACTAGGTGCCAAAAGTACTCCTTCTAAACACGACAGCCAGATAGGACTCCAGACATTGCCTCTGGAGGGCAAAACAGCCCAGTAGAATATGTGAAATGCTAAAAGAAAAGATAATGTCCATGCATGACATTTACTCCTAGAAAGCAGCAAAAGAGGTCCTAAATGTAAGAAGCCCTCTAGGGCTGTGGTCATTCCACCATCTGTAGAAACCTCCGGCATTTACAAGGACTTCCCCTTGACCCTGGGGTTATTCCAGAGATGATGAGATGATAAAAATGGTCATGATTCCTTTTCAGGTTCTTTTCTCAGTAAAGGAATTGCACTTCCCTGCCTCTTTGCAATCTACTGACCTTGAATACGGATGAGGTCATATTTGATGTCCTTTTACATTTGGCTGGAAACCCAAGCCAACCTTTGGAAATACAAGGTCTTAACTAGAACAGTGATGCAGTAGACTTTGGCATTTCCATGTTTAGGAGAATGGAAATAGAGATACTACAGCCACTTCTTCCTACCACCCTCAACACAGTCACCTATTGCTGATCCTAAGAGAGTTCCTCCAGAAGGCAAGATGAAATCATTTGCTGTACCATGGAGCAGAATGATAAAAGAAGGCAAGTAATAAAATGATCAAAACTCCAAATGTTTGGTCACCTATTTGGTTGGCATGCTGTGGTTAACAAGGATGGCGCATCGTGCCATTGAGAATGCAAAGTGCTACACAGAACCTATGCATGGGAATTGGATAATCACTAACGAAATTACACATGCATTTCCTTTTTGACACAAAAATCCCAATTCTAAGAAGCTATTGCAAAATACAAGACGACTTCTGCACAGGTTGTTCACTGCAGTACTATTTGAAATAGCAAATGACTGGAGACCATCCATATAACCAAAAGTCTGGAACTGGTTGAATAAATAAGGGTAGATCTACATTATGAAACATACTATTTAACTCGGGGGAGAAAAAAGCAAGGGCCATTTCTTTACATGATGTGGAGTGATCTCCAGGATACATACTAGCTTTAAAACACACACTCACTCACATGGTACAGAAAGTATAGTAGACTTTTTGGTAAGATAGGTGAACTATGAATATATATTTGTCTATATTTGGGACAGGAAAAATCATGTAGAGGAGATCAACAGGTAAGCTAGACTACTCTGAATAAACATTTTCTATATATCATGTATATGATTTTATATATATATGTATTGCATACTCAAAATAATTTTAAATCTAAAAAATGCAGTTCTTAAAATTCAAAAATAAACTGGACCAGTCTAACCACATATTAAGTTGATAGCACAATTACATCAAGTAAATAATTAAATGACAAGAAAATAGTGTGTTGACTGTTCATTCATAGTAGAATATATTCTCAAGATAAGTAGATCCACAAAAAAAAATTTAAGCTTCATTCAAGAGTCTTATTGCTAGTAGCATTATAGATGCTACTACTGTACTTTCAAACTATTCCTGTATCTTATAGGTAAAGTAAGTAGTGTTATTAGGAATAATGATTTTCATCCATGCAATGTGAAAGTTGAATTCAAAATAGTGTGCACTTACAATGTTTTTCTCTTCAAAAGCAGTTTCTTGTATCTCAATAAGGAAAGTTTTACATTTATTGCAAAAAAAGAGAAGCATTTGCTTTCAGTGTCCCTTGAAAAGACCTAGAGATAATGAAAATTTTATAGTAATAAGCACTTTTAGCACCATGTTGTACTTTTTTTTTTTTTTTTTTTTGAGACAGGGTCTCACTGTGCAGTTCAGGCTGGCCTTGAGCTCACTTTGTAGCCCAGGCTGGCCTTGAACTCACAACAATCCTCCTGCCTCAGCCTCCCAAGTGCTGGGAGTACAGGCATGCACCACCGCACCCAACCTAATATTGTACTTTTAAAACACCATTTTCTATGAAAAGGAAGGAGGCTCTTTGGACGAATGGCAGGTTTCAGTACATCTTGTGCTAGACACCAAGGATTGTCTATTAAAAGTCTAAAGTCAAATAGGACAGTTCAAAGATACAAAGGGGTCAGCATAAAATAGCTCTCACTGGCTGAAAAGGGGATAATATGAGCATCAAAAAGAGTAAGAACTACAACAGGCTGAATCGCATTGGTTACATATAAACCAGGAGTTTGTTATTAGTTGTAGCTAGGCAAGACTGAATATTTTCAGTGTAACTAAAGAATTGAGCACTTATCCTGCCTTTCCTGTATGAATTATGTTTAATGGTGTCTTAGCCTGGCTTGCCCCTTGGAAACTGAACCTGAGACAAGGGCTTACTTTTTAGGTAGTTGATTTTGGACAGTGATCGCAGGAAACAGGAGTGGATGACTAGGGAACGTGAAACAAGGAAAGTTAATACAAGGGTGTTCTCAAATTAGTCATCACCGTGGCAATACGGCCTTGAGCCATGCAGAATGTACACTGCACTCCATAATTGTCAGCTCGGTGCAAGAGGAGAGCACTTATTTACCAGCCCCCATATCCCACAGGTCCAAGTTTCTGTCTTAGGGCCTCAACTTCCTTCCATCTCCAAGCTGTTATTTGTGAGTGCAGACATCTCACCCTTATGGGATCAGAGGAATCAGGGTGGGGGACAGAAAGATGTATTCAACGCATGTGAGGAGAGATGCTGTCAGGTTACACTGCAGGAAGCAGCTTGCTGCGGCAATGGCTGCAGTAAAAGGTGGCCCTAGAGGATGTGAAGCAGGGAACAAGCCTTTTCTAATGGGGTAGACAAATTGTCTAGGTTGGTGAGGGAAATGTCTCTGTTTATTTTATAAAAATAATTCTAGTGAATAAAAAAGAAATGGTAGAATTAGGAAACTACCATTTTGTAATTCCTGATGGATTAATTGATTCAGGTAACAATCACCAATCTATGGGAGGCTGACGGGGGACTTCACAATACAGGCTTCAAGGAAGCCTCCACTCCACCACTAGGAGTGGAGACTGCATACAGATGTCCCTCCTGATGTGATGCATTATGAAGTATACAACATCACCTATGAAATTTTGTTTTGTTTTGTTTTGTTTTTCGAGACAGGATCATTGTGAGTTCAGTATGTAGTAAGTTCAGGCTCGAACTCATGGCAATCCTCCTGCCTCAGCCTCTTGAGTGCTGGGATCATAGGGGTGCACCAGCATGCCCTACTTCATTTACAAAATATTCTAAGTAGAATAATTGAATCTAAATCTCAACAAGCCGTTAGGACTAACTTCCAATCTAGAAACAAAGATGGTAGTGAAATATTATCAAAAGAAGGCTGTGGATTATTCTACAAACTGCTTGGGTTTCTTCAACAAGATAAGGGAGTAGAAAGGAAATAAAAGGACTTCTCTAGATTGAAAGATTTTAAAAGATATAACAAACCAAGTATCATGTGCAGGTGTGTTTAGATTCTCATTCTAACAAGCCAACTATAATATAAAAAGTAAGTTTTGAGAAACAAAGAAATTTGAAAATAATTTTCATAGATTAGATATTGTAAAGGAATTATTTTATGTATAATTTTATAAGAAAATGTTAATATTTTAAGTGATGCTCACTGAACTATAAAAGGATAAAATAACACAATGTCAGGAGTTTCCTTTAAGACATTCAGTAAAGGAAAAACAGGTGAAACAAATACGCTAAAATCTAGGACGTTAGAGGCTTGGGGTGTAGTTCAGCGGTAGAGTAATTGGTTGGAACCCATGAGGCCCTGCGTTCAATTCCCTAGTACCATCAAACAAACTAGAAAGTTGTAGATTCTAGATCCTGAGCAAATGGTATTCATTATACTATTCGATTTTGTGTATCAAGAAGCACGTAAATAAGTTCATCCCTATTTTGCAAGTGGAAAGAAGGCAAATGACATACTTGCTCTACACCATAAAGTTGGAAAGTGGAAGAGCCAGAATTAAAGCAGATTTATCTCATTCCTTCCCACATCCTGTCATCTTCAAGCTGGATGCATTTTTTTTGGTCTATTTATTCACTTGTTTTCCAACCTTAGGTTCACACAATTTTTTCTTGTTTCTGTTTCATCATTGGGCTACACGTTTGTTCTTTTTGCTGTATTATAGAATTGAATGATCCTTACCTCCCTGTAGTCACATCCTGAGTCCCCTTCACATCGTCCCAGGGTTGGTCTTTGTGATCAATAGTATCCAGCAGAAGTGCTGGTATGACACGTTCTGTATTAGCTTTATAAATGATAGTGTATCTTCAACCTTGGGCATTCCCTTTCTATCTCTGTCTCTCCCATTGCTAGATGTTGGGGAAGTCATGTCATGAGCAGTCTTGGCTCATATGGTGAAGACTAAGCTTCATACAAACAGTCATATAAATGAACTGTGTTGGAAGTATATCTTCTAACTCCTTCAGGGACAACAGTCCTGCCTGCAAACTTGACTGTAACCTCAGTAGGGCCCCTAAGCCAAAACCACAAACATAAGATGCACCCAGATTCCTGACCCTAGACACCACACAAACATATAAGTTGGTATGCTGTAAGATAATTTGTTATGCTTCAATAAATAACTAATGCCATTAGCCATTAATCTTTGTATAATGTAATACATAAAGTGAGCCCACAACTAACACAAGAAGTCGAATATTGATCATAGCTTGCTTCTGTCTGTGTGATCTTTTTCTGTCCTTTATGTCCCCAGCATGAAGTTGTTTTTATCCTGAATCTTATATTATCATTCCCACCATTTAAAAAAATCACTTAATTTGTACATATTTCTAAACATATGTCATTTAGCTTATTTTTAATTTACAAAGAAAGTGCCCATTTTTGGTGAGCTTTTTAATTTACTCAACATTATTTTGCTGAGTTTTACCCAAATCATTATACATAGTGGCATATCATGTATTTTCACTGTTGTATAATATTCATCATGTGAATATATCACACTCTATTCTCTCACTTGTGACTGGATATTTGGATTGCTTCCAGATATTTTTATATTATAACAATCAATATTTTTATAACAATGATATTTTTGTAATATAACAATTTGTATATTATAACATGAAGAGGTTCACAAGTGCCTCCAGCTGCACACGGCAAGAGGTTCTATCTAGCATTGGAATGATGGGATTATAGGATTTGTGAATATTCAACAGCTTTATAAAGTGGCTGTACCAATTTATACCTCCACCAGATACCTAGGTGAGATTGTTTTGATCATTTCTAAAAGTGTCTAATAAGTGAGTATAAATTGGAATCTTGTTATAAAGATCTGCATTTCTGTTATCATTGGAAAGACCATTGAATATACTTTTCATATTGTGAGTTAGCTTTCAAAGGAGATGTGGGAAGGTATATATAACCATACTATTTCATTCTAATTTCTTCTTTGGTTTAATTTTTAGGTCTTGCTTTCTCAGATCCTCACATTCACAATTGTCCTTTCTTGCCATTTCCTTTCAATATTCTAAATGCTTGACCTTAGAACAACTGTAGTTAGGGAGGAAATGGACCAAGACTTACTCTCTTTTACTCTAGTTACTCTCCCTACAGGGCAGCAGGTTGGAATTAACTATTGGTGCTGATAGTTAATTTCACACTATGCTTAGCTCAACAGGAGAAGTTGGTCCTTTTCTTTTAGGAAGGTTCTTTCCAGGGGGCTATTTTCTTTCAGAAATTTAGAATGGAAAAAAATCTGCTGAGGTTTTTACTTGAACATAGACAGTATTATAAAAGGTCAACCATCTGGGTTTTACAGCTCTGTTCATGAATAATTACATGATCATAGGCTCTAAGTTTAAAAGTCATTCATCTATAAAACAAAAAGTAGGTGATCTTTTTTGTCCTCTTAGACTCTAGAATTAACCACTGATGGGTCTGACTGGTCCTTATGATCATTTCAATCTTTCTGTTTCTGTCTTCCTTCCTGTCCTTCCCCAGTAACCCAGTTGTTCCTGGTATTAATATAGGTTGAAATTTGAGGTCTGCAAAGAGGATTGCAGAGGGGGCCCTATCATGCTGCTTTAATCATTTTGTGAGCACTGCCTCCCGCATATTTAATATTGCATCTACTGAAGACAGGCTACATAAATATCTGTTAGTCAGTTGAATAAATAGTAAATGGATGAACTGGGTCTTTATTCTGCACATCCATCTTCACTCCATCACAGCTGAATTCAGAACTTACTTGAGTTCTCTTTATATAGGTAGAGAATATTTTTGCCAATATGAGTCTAGCTAGCTCTCCATTGCTCTTTAATGTTTCTCATGAAGATCAAGTTCACTACACTTACTCAAATCAAAGTATCTGGGCTTGCGGAGCAGGTATCAGTGTTTTTCAAATACTCCTCAAGAAAAAAA